TTCTTATCTAGATGCAGTGAATAAGTGTGTTAAAAAGTGATTACTGTTAATTAAAACACTACTAGACCTAGACAGAGGCAAATGCTTTCAAATTTATTTTCATTGCTATTGCTGGAATTATTATTTTTATGCGTTTTTGATGAGCAGCGCTATAGCATTGCTACAGCGAGCAAAAACACGTACTGTCGAAAGGTCGTCCCTATGTGTCTGCGTTCGGAAGCGAGTGAACTTTGTCACTCACTTTCAACTCAACAACCAGGAAAGCAGGGAAGCTGAAATTTTCGGGACATATTTTCACTCCGTGTGTCACTTTCCCTTATTAAAATTGTCGCTCATAAGTGGCTAAATTTTGCGTGCGGATCCCCGAAAAAACATGCAAATTTCTGTAGCGGGAAACGGTTTTATGAACTAGAGAAAATAGAAAGTTGGAACTTTGCAGAGATATTCTGTGTGCATGTGCGAGCTAAAAATTTCAAATTCAGCTACCGTGCATGCTTATACCGCGCGTACGGTCGCGTCAAAGTTCGCAGATGAGACTGTTGTAATTTGAAAAGTAATCGAAAAATCAAAAGCTAAAATTTGTCAGAGTATTTATCACTCTGACAAAGTCGTATGCCTATGCCTAGAATAAGTTCCGATTTGTACTCGCGCCACGACTTAGGGCACTTCAAAGATATTTATAGCGAAGTGGCTATTTCGCTACTAGGCAAGCTGCGAAGCCGTAACTTTGCAAGAATATTCCATATTCAAGTGTAGTCTTAATTCGGTTTGGAGGTGAAATTCCATGCACGCAGACGCAACAGATAATCAATTTTATCGCAGTCTCAAAAATATGTGCGTTTTACAGGTTTCATAATCGTCTTCGGACTTCCTTGAGATTTGCATTTTTTCAATGGACGAGCTTTCACCGGGAAAACGATCGGGCTTCATGTAAACCTAGACTAGAACGCGTCAGGCAATCCGGCGCGATTATGCGTTTTTGCACTATTTTGTGTTGTAGCAAGTCGCAAGGAATCACAGTAGCTACAATTTTTGACATACTAGCTTCTGAAGTCCAGGAAATTAACTGTGCAACTACGCAGCATCTCAGCTGTAAATGCCGACTTCAGTGACCCAAGAAATGGAAAGTTGCTGGTGCGCAAAAAAGACCCCACTAGGAGAGTTGAATCTGAAATCTTTTAGTCGCACATGAGTAAGGAACATTCCCCTAAAGTTTCACCCTTCTAGCTTTTCTCATTCCCGAGTTGGCAATTTTTCCGCTAAAAATCTCATGCGTTCGCACGCGAGGCTCAGAAGTACGCGAGGGTTGGTGCCGCAATTCTGAGGTTGCACTTGGCCGGGGAATCAACTGGCAAAATTTTGGCGTCGGAGCTTGTTTGGTTGCCGATTTAAAATACACGGACAAACGAACACACACATACACACACACGGACAGAGTCGTCGCAGTATGCGTTTTGGCAATTTGCATGTATGCAAAAACACATAAAAACTGATGATCTTGCACGCTAGAGGTCCATGCGGACCCATAATGCAACATCTTCCGAGCCATAGCCGGATTCAGGGCGGTCTCCTGGGGCAGGGGAGGGGGCGATTTTTCACCTCTACTTCTCTCTTCATTACTACCTCCCCTCCCCCACTCTTACTAGGGCACACTAAGCTGAAAGTATCAGGATTCCTGGAGAGGGGGAGGAGGGCGAAAAGAGGTGCCGAACAGACTTTTGCACAGTAAAACAATTGCTACCTAAGCCCCCCTCCCCTCTGGATCCACCAATGATTCTAGCTAATGCCCTTTCTCCTTTCATGCGAAAGAGGCTAAACACATCTAGTGTGAGTCTAAGTGTTAAAGCACAGAGCAGGACCAATCACTGCTACTAGCGACCTGCAAGCTTAGCGCAAGAATGCAAGATCGCACTGGCAAGCCTAGTGTATTGCAGCTAGGGTTATTATTATTATCACTGTTGTTATTATTACTATTATTATTGCTCTTCTTGCCATTATTATTGTTATTTATAATGCCTGTTTCTATTTCTACTGATATTAAGAAGCTTATGAGAAATAACAATAATTGGCCAACGCACGAGCTGCCCGTGCGAACATGCGTTTTTTGCATAGTTCTCCGCAGTTTTTGTTGCTACCGGCACCGGCTTTTTTGGCAAATGCTTCTAGCTAAACAAATTAAGACTAGCCGTCAGAACTGTCAGAAAACACCCCCTTAAAATCTCAGCTTTTAAGCTTCCCTGACTCCTGAATTAGCAACCTACTGGAAAAAAAATTTCATGGGCCCGTACGAGTTTAACACGCACACCCGAGGGTTAGGTTTGAGCTGAATGAAACTTAGTTGGACAGGATATATCCTCTTAAAATTACAACCCTTTAGCTTCTGAGATACTCGAGTTATCAGCTTGCCCGAAAAAAAAATTTGGCGTTCCCGTACGAGGCACCACGCTAACCCGGGGGTTGGGTTTGAGCCCACTAATGCCCCGTTGGACGGGGAACATTACCCCAAGATTTCAGCCTTTTAGCTTCTCAGTGCCCTGAGTTATAAAATTGCGCGGGGAAAATTTTGGGGGGCCAGTACGCGGGTACCACGCTTACCCGGGGGGCTGGATTTGAGCTTATTAGCACCGGCTTGGACGGGGAGCATTCTCCTAAAATTTCAGCTTTCTAGCATCTCGGAACCCCGAGTTATGAACTTACCTGAAAAAACTTTGACGGGCTCGTACGGGGGTACCACGCTTACCCAGGGGCTGGGTTTGAGCCCACTAATAGCCGCTTAGGCGGGGAACATTACTCCAAGATTTCAGCCTTCTAACTTCTCAGATCCTCGAGTTATGAACTGACCCCAAAAGACTTTGGCGGGTCCGTACGCGGGTAACACGCGGGTTTTGGCGCCCATTCTGGGGATTGGGGCGGTACGTGCATGTAGATTAAGTTCCCGAAATTTCAGCCCCGCAGCTTTTA